GAGGTTTTGATTAACCTCTTGCTTTCGTGAAAAATCTCTGTTTATTGAACTACTGAGGCATGAACTGATGTTGAAGGTGGAGAGTGTGGAATAATAAAAAAAAAATCCAAATGGTTGTCAGTCTTTCTGGCCACACTACCCCTGAATCAGGCTGGGATTGTCTTTATGTTCCTGTCCTCTCCTGGGGGCTGAGTGCATAACTCCATTTGGTTTTCAATAACAATCTCCAGGATGTATCATGGATAAGGAAATACAGCCTGGCTTTCTGGGTTATGCAAGGGGCTGACAAAATTATGTCTCATCATTTGACATAATATCTTGTAATGCACAAAGCTCAGTTTTAGGTAACATATACGTAGAGACATTATTTTCTGCCTAAAAGCAAATATTTTTTTCCATGGGGGAGAAAGCCCTTTTAGGAGGTCCTGCAGTTAAAAATCTGAGTGTGCAGAATGATTGCCTGTGGTTGATGCAGACTATGGGGAGTTTGCACCAAGGCTGATGGTGAGTTAGTCTGATGGGAGCCTGTCTGGTGTTTTGAGGCATGCATGGCTCACTTTGCTTGCTGTTGTGGACACTGCATATCACAGAATTCTCTTTATCTTGAACTGTGATTTTTGAGGTACAAATAATGGTACCATGCCCTTCTGCAGGTGATGAATTCACCAGGATTCTGGTGCACAGCTCCACACTGAAGAGCAGGACTCTAAGGGGGTAGAGTAGTGAAGCCATTTAAAATTGCACCCCAAATATGGTTTACAGAGTAGTAATGAATAAAAATGCCCTATACTTATACCAGCTCTTTAGGAGGGTAGAGTGCAGGCAGTCTGGAAAAATTATCAAGGTAGAGGCCCCTGCTTTTTTTTGGTTTAAATTAAAAAAGCCTGAGATGCTATGAGGGCTTTAAAATCAAATGTGATCAATAAGTCTAATTTCTGCATCTTACCTAGAAGCCTAGAAGAGTGCACTTTCCTCTCATTTCCAAACATTTTTCTGTGAATCACTGACCACCTGCCCTCCCTCCTGGTGGTTTAGGAGATGATCTATACCCCAGTGAGAGAGATTAAATTCAATAATACCCTGAGGGTCTGGAACTTGAGCTCTGGCCTCCTCCTTGTACAATATGGTCCCAGGGAAAGGGGCAAGATGTTGGCTAAAACAGCCCCTGGAAGTAGAACACAGAGGAGGTGGGTGCATATTTCATGACAGACTGTTTTAACTTTCCAAACAGCCACCTCTTTTACGGCCAGAAGCTACTATTAATTATTTATCAGAACACTTATTTATACACTAAAAGCTAAATGCAATCCTTTCAGTGGAGCCTGGCAGAGTGTGGGCTGGAATAAGTAGCTGTAGATAGTCCTTCAGGAGGGGAGGTTTCGTGCAGAGCTCGGCTCTGTGGAGAGCCCGTCCACAAAATTCTCTCTGCTGTTTGTGCCTGGTACTGGTATTTACATGTGGAAGATGGAAACCCAGCCATCAGTAAGAGTCTGTAGCTGTGGGGACATCAGCCTGATCTCCCTTGGCCAGATTTAGTAAGCCAAGGACAGTTCTTATGCCATCAGCATCCAAGGAAGAAAAGGGAATACTTTTCTTTGTGCTTCCTTCCTCAGGAAGGAAGCCCACCCTGTCCTGGCTTCTCCTTCTGTGCTTGCTCTGGCTCTGTAAAACCCATCCTTGCAGCAGAGGAGGGAGGATGAATTTGCTCCCTTTTCCTCCACTTAGGGAGAGCAGTTGTGACCCCTTCTGTAGCCAGAGGGAAGGAAATAGGTTTAAATATGTCTCTGTCCCTTTCAGAATTGAGGTCAAATGGCCATCCAGGATGGCACTTCTGGTGCCAGTGTGTTTTCCTTATCAAATACTGACACGGTTTCTACACTGGTGTGCTGTTGCCGTGTAATTCTGGTGGCATTGCTGTTTAGATAAAATATTATTATTTTTCTATGGCAACTGTTAGTTTCAGTAGGAATTCCTAGTCCATTGTAATATTCCTGAAGTAGTTGTAATATATGTTTGGGATTGACGTGCATGATTTTCATGTCTTCCAGCGCACGATGCTTTTAATGGCCCAATTTTTCTAATTTGAATGTTGACATAGATGGGGAATTGATTCTGGATTTCCATCTGGCACTCTTCTGGGTGGCTTACCTTGGTGAGGGGCGTTGCTTTAACATGTCAATAGGAGAGAGAGACTTGTTGCTGTGAGCTGTGCCTTCTTCAGCCTATCTCAAAATGGGAGACAGGACTCCTTGATATCACACCCAATTTCCAGCAGAGACCCTCCTTCTCCCTAGGAGCCCATCCCTTCCATCTGCTCTAATCGTCCTCAGCTGCATCCCAGGCCTGAGGACAAGGCATCTGATAAACTGCCACCTGGCACTGCACTCCTTAACACTTGCAAATGGCTTCAAGCCAGGCTCCCCTCCCCTTGGAAAGTGTGGAGAGCCCTTGGCTCACCCAAGCTCAATGCCCTGCTCCTGAAATGAGTCCCCGGGCTGGGCCAAGTGCAGCTTTGCACAATTCCAAGGTAACCTTTCCTTCAGCCATCCAGGCCCCAGCTTGCAGTGCCTTGCTGCTCTCAGCCCAGGGGTTGCTTTGTTCAGAAAAGCCAATTTTGTGGGTTTGGAAAGCAGTTTCTTAGATGCACCTATGAAGCTGCAGAAAGAGGGTTGGGATTAGATATTCTTTAAAGTCCCTCCCAACCCAAACCATTCTTAGGTTCTGTGGTGATGGAAGCTTTGCAAGGCAAACACTTGATGGAAGCAAACAGCAGAGTGTTCATGCAGCTGAAGCTCAGCCAGCCCTATAGTCATAGAGGCAATCAAAGCAAACAGTGATTTGGAACAGAAATGATACTTTTTTTTTTTTGGTAGAAGTTCATTATATGCCTTCCTTTACTGCGTGTAGAGAAATGATGAATCTTTTTCTGGGGAAATAGAGTTAAATGCAATTTTTTGTTCATCTAACTGAAAACTCATAGTCAGAACTAATAGTAACTCATCAGCATTTTCTATGCTCTGTATTGCTGTAGTTTTGCAATATATAGCCATATTTTCCTTAAAGTATCTCATTATACTGCTGGGATAATTCCTGTACTGCAACCTTAAAAAAACCATCCTCACTGTTAGCATATTTTGATCCTGCTCATAGTGAGTATGGCAGTTGAACTCTAGAGCAGCTCATGATTCCTGCACAGTGCTAAGTCTGATCATGGCCATTACAGAGAGTGATGCAGCAGATATCACAGCCTCCAAACAGCCATAAAGTTTTAATAGGACTTCCAGCACTTGATAGTGTGAGTTAATAGGGTGTTCAGGCTGAACAGGATTTATATGTAGGGGTGTGTGTGTGCACAAGTGGTCAGTCACTGAAGCATCCTGCTCTCTGCTGAAATGTAACCCTTTGAATTTGATTTACTCTGATAAAAGGCAAGTTAGAGGAGCATTTCCCCAGACTTGCAGAAGAGAATGGTGTCAACAAGACCTCAAGATATTCCTGCTTTCAATTCTGAGGCTTTCAGACATTAGGCATCTATTATGAATCAAAAAAAAAAAAAAAAAGGGGCAGTTCTAGGGAACTGGCACAAAACCTGACAACAGACATGAACTTGTGCACAGAGCAGTGGCATGAGGAACAACTAACCCAACTGAGCAGATCACTGGATCTGATTGATAAGATTCAGGAGAGAACTCAAAGCCAAGAATTTCCTTAGTTAAATGAGACTTGGCAGTTCAGAGCCCATCCCCAGCCCCTCCTTTAGAGCAGCATTTCCAAAAGCAAGGCAGGCAGTGCAGCTTGGTGGAGGGGAAAAGGTGCATGGGGCAAGTGCACAGACAGGATGGGGTGAGACAGGGAGTGCCTGGAAACGTTGCCAGCTATGGAAACTTTATGAACAAGGAGATCCTGCTGTCCTTCCACAGGCTGAACATTCATGGCAGGAGGACCATGATTCAAACTGCTGAAGAAATGGGGTGAAAATGAGTTACTTCTCTTTTTATCTTGTTCTCTGAGAGCATTCAAAGCTGGGAGAGGTGGAGTAACCTGCTACAGGGGGTGGGCCAGATTCTGCAGCATTTATTACATGGAGGGAAGGAGGGAGGCTTCAAGCCATGTGAATGAGAGCAGCAGGAGTTAGTAAAAAACGACCTGGTAAATTCCCTGGGGGGAAGAGAGCTCCATGAGTGTGAGGGTTTGTAGCTATGTGTGGTTACAACAGTGCAGTGCTTGTGGGAAGAGATTTGTTCATCTCTAAGCCTTTTCCTGTGGGTGATCATTCCCAGCGGCGGTGATTTGGAGCCCCTGTGCCAGCTGTGGGATAAAACCCTGGGCTGCTGCTGGACTGGGCTCTGGAGCATCTGAAGAGCTCACACTGATTTCCTCAGTTTACCTCTCACTGCCACTAAAAGTCCTTGCTTCGACTCCATAAATGATCATGGTGTTTAAAAAAGAAATGTTGCTGACAGATGTAGTTTGCTATCAAACTGCTGGAAGGGAGCAGATCTGTAGGATTTGGCTTCCTCACAGTACAGTTACTCTTGCTTTGGTGCATATTTAATGTATCTCCATTGAAAGCTTCTATCATGTCCTTCTAGTACAGTAGTTCTGCTGAACTTTGCTAGATGGTAGCAAATAAAAGCAAAGGATGTGGAGAAAACTAAAGAAGCAACTATATCCTCTTTCCCCCCCGTCAGATAAGTTCCCTTGCTTTCCCTTCCGTGCTCTTTCAGATATTTAGGCAGTCAGCTGTTTCCCTCGGAAACAACATCCCTTTGCACCAGGTGCACTTGCATGCAAACGTGGCGAAGACTGTCTCAAACTTGCAAATAATCCTTGGAACGCCAGGCTCCAGGCAGCTTTTGGAAGCACTTACTGTGCTGAGGTTCCAGGCAGATCACTGGACACACTCTGGGTATTTGTACCTGCTCTGAGTACAGGCACTGTGTGCTTTTGTATGTATGTATACCCAGAAGCAGAGGTTGAGAAGCTGAGCAATGTCTTACCTAGAGAAGAATTTCTCTTCCTGGCGTGCAGCAGGAAAATTTCTTCACGGGCTCCAGGTAAAGCAGGCAGAGTTTGCAGTTGCCAACAGCTGTCAGCGGCATCCCAGGAAGGCTCCTCTGCTCCGGCTCCCGTCACTGAATTCCAGCGGCACAGTCACATCCCGTTTGTACCCAGCCTGTCCTCCCGGAGCGAGCAGCCAGCCGCAGCGATGCACACCTCTGCTGAGCACGCCGTTCCCAGCGCAGCTTCCTTCTCGGAGCGGGGATGCCGCCGGGCTCCGGCAGAAAGGCTGCGGAGCTCCGGGAGCCGCCGGAGTCAGGAGTCCGCCTCCGCCCGCCGCGGATCTCGGCGGCAGCGCCGGTTCCTGCCGCTACTCGCCCCGCGGATTTGCGAGGGCTCGGAGCCGCTCTGATGTCATTCCGGCCGTGGGGATGCTGGCGAGGAGCCGAGGCTGGTTCGGGGTGAGCCGCGCTCCTCTCCCGCCGCCCCGATCGGTTCCGCGCTCCGCGGGGATTTGCATCATCCGTCACTGAGCGGCCGGAGCGCCTCCCCTCCCGCCGCCCGAATGCGGGAGGGAAGCGCCTCTTCCAGATCCCGCTGCTACACCTGGAGCCTGCGGCGGGAAGCCCAGCGGAAAGGAGAAGCTGGCAGAATCATTTTTCTGACAGGAGGATGCTTGTGCCCCCAGCGCCCCCCGTCACCCCTCACCGTCTCCAGATGCTAAAAAAGGAGGTTTAACAAAATCCCAGCACTGGAAGGTTTTTGGTTCCTACTCTTGTTAGGTCGCTGATAAGATCACCTGGTACAATGAAAGGTGGGTTTTAGCACATGACAAAAATCAAGCAGGGGTCACCCAGCAAGTTGGTTACAAATGATCTCCCTGCCACCAACAAATATTCCGTGCTCAGAGGTGACAAGTATTTTCTTGCTGTATGTGACACAAGTTCTACCTATTTGTTGCATAATTTCTTGTTAAAATCCTTTATTTCATCCAGCTGGAGACAAAACTTACCTCCACAGCCAAGAAACATGACTGCTATGTGACTTCAAATTGTATTACAAAGGCAAAACTAAACACTTGCTATATTAAAAGAATTAGATTTTATTCCAATCTAATTTTCAATTTTTGCCAGCTTGACATCTTTCACTCCAAAACTGTTCTTTGTACAGTACACCTTGGAATTGAAATTCAGCCAATTCCATGCAGGAAATGTGAGGAGAAAATAGTTTTGTTCAAGGAGACTGGAACAAACCCATTCTGAGATGATGAATGACGCTGTAAACTCAGATTTGAATCATAGGAGGGTCAGCTCAACCTTTTGTGTTTCCAAAGCAGTGTAAATAAATGGTGTTCCCTGCAGTTCCCCATTTACATCCTTCAGCTGGGACCTTCTGCATGAAGGGCTGTTTGCTCTCTGTGAATATCCAAGTTTCAAAGATGGTAGAGATTCCAAACTTGGACTAATTGATTCCCTCTGGCCAAATGAGAAACGGAGGGAAAATTAAAATTCAAACTACTTCTGAGTAATTTCCTACAATGTCTAACTGCGAAGCACTTGTCGGGAGATATGTTAACAAAGCCTTGCACCTATGGCCTGGCTCTGGATTTGGGATTTGTTTCCCAAAGACTGTTGGGAATGCTGGGCTTGGGGATTCCCCTGCAGCTGGGTGGTGAGCAGGTGCCTCCTTGCATCCTCTGTGCAAATCAGAGCTTTGGTCAGGCTGTAAACTAAAATAGCCAAATTGAGTTAAAACTTGGGAAGAGTCTCTTCCCAACACAAGGAAATCTTCTGGTACAGTTTGTCCAGAACCTGCCAGAGCTTCCATTGCTGATCTGGTGGTGTGAAAGGAAAAGTCCAGCTGTTTGTTGCTTTGGTACTGCTGTGCTTGGCCCCTGGCTGCCCTTGGAGCACTGCAGAGGTGCTGTGAGCAGGAGGGTTTGGCTGTGGGACAGCTGTGCTGCTCCAGATGTGGCGGGAGCAGCGCTCTGCCTCCTGGAAGCCATGTCCACGGATGTTCCTGGGTGGGCAGTGGCCAAGTGGTTGCAGCAATGTTGAGAGTGTGTTTTCATTCAGATGCTCAAGTCACTCTCTGAACTGAGATCCTTGGCTTGAGCCCTGCTGTGCTGGCTGAATTCCACAGGAAGGAGCAGGGCTATGGAGTCACGCTGCCCCCGGAGCTGTTTGCTCTGCTGGTGGTTCATTTCAAGTGCAGGACCAGGAGAATGACTGTGCCAGGGTCTGCCCTCGTGGGAAACACGTGGGAATCTGTTGGCAGAATTGCTCCAACTCTCTGTAGCAGAAAGAGCACACCAACCCTTGGGAGACAAGAGTACAGTTGGAATTTTCACTTCCTTCTCCTTTGGGTAGTGGAGAGAATTGAACTCTTCCAGCTCGGTCACAAATGCACCCGAGTTACCTAGAATGTCCTTCTGGTCATGACATAATTCTCAAGCTCTGCTTGAGGGGAAAAAGAGAGAAGAAAGAAAACAGGACAACAAGAAGCAAATGAAGTGTGGATGGAGAGAAGCAAGAAAATAAGATAAATCCTAGTAATAAAATACTGTATGAATGGAACAGCACACTTATGCTGAGATCCTCGCCTCAGGGTATAAGTTTTCCTGGCCCTTAACCTGCAGCACAGATTTTGCATTGGGTGCTGTACATTGTTCTGTACCTGCTATCCTCATGTAGTTTATTTCCTGTCTGTACAGGCAGGCAATCACAACAGCTTATTCTGCTTTTTTTGGTAGCACAAAACCTAGAGATGGAACCTACCACAGCTTTGCCCAAAAATTGCTGAAAAGCGTGACTTTCTGGTTTCTGAGCTGTTGAATGCTAGAACCATTTAGGTTGGAATAGACCTTTAAGGTGATGGAGTCCAACTTATTAGCCCAGCACTGCCAAGGCTACCACTAAATCATGTTCCTAAATATGGTGCAGAGCAAATCCTCTCAGAAATCAGTGTGTAAACACGGGGTATGTCCCTGGTTCACTCTTCCAGACTGCCTGAAAACTTTCACAGGAATATGTGGATTGATGTTCTGTTGCTCCTATGTTGAGTTGCTGTGGTCTGGCTGCTCCCAGTCTCCCCACCTGTTATTCCAGTGCTCTGAGGACACTGGAATAGGCACTCCCAACTTCTCCTGTCAAAAACCCCCTCGCAGCACCAAGGCCACGCTTCAAAGCTGAGTGCAGTACACAGAACCTTTTCTTTCAGCTAAAGACACATTCATGGCCTTTAGTGAAAGAAAGATGGCTTTTGGCACTGAAGCTCATTATGAGTTTAAGAGAACAAAAAAATTACTCTGCCTGGCAGAAACAGCCTTTTCTTGAGCTGTGGAGAGTCCTTCTGAACCTGCCTGTAAGGAACAGCAGCGTGTCTTATTAGACACACAGAGCAGCTCCTCAGATGGCGTAAATTGTCAAAACCTCCCTTGATTTCAGGGGAATTATGACAACTTAGAAGAGTTAGAGATTAGTCTTAATTCTCCAGCAGCAGTTTGAGGTTTGCAGAACTTAATTACACTCACATCAAAAGTGCAAGAAACATAAAGGCACAACAGATTGTTTCGTTGGGTTTCTTTGAGTATTCATATATTTCATTAAGAACAGTGTATTTTGTTGTCTTGATGTCTCAATAAATGGTTAGGGCTTTTCATTTGAATATTTTTGCTCTGGCTCAAAATGTGTTAGAGGTTTTATCGAATCAGAAATGTAGGGATGAAATGTGGGTACACTTGGAGCCGAGTTTCATGCATTAGACCTCAGTGAAGGCATTTGTGTCTTCTACTGGCAGTGCCTGCCTTGTCCTGGGTTATTCTTGTTTCCCAGATGTCAGGGGAGAATGGGCTGCTCGTGGTCCACTTAAGCCTGAAGTGCTGATTTGCAACAATGTGGACAGCAAAAATGCTGCTCAGTCCTCAAGTAAAACTAAAAAATGTAAGACACAGCTGTATTGCCTGACTGCTGGCTTTCTCCAGCTATACAGTCTCTTTTCCAGCTCCTGTTATCCCCTCTTTATGTCTGGACACACTTGTACAGATGATGAAGGCCAATCAGTGCATACCAGTTCTGTAATGAACTTTATCTCATGCTTTTATTCCTCTGTAAGATAACTTTGATATCCTAGTGTGGCTTTGTTCCTGCATGGCTTTGGATGTATCAGTTTCAGAGTGTGCTGGTAGAAACCAATGTGGAAATATCTGTTAAACCAACTTACATTCATTTACATCTAGCATTAGAGCTGCTCCACATATCTCTAATTACATTGCTGTTTTATGTCTTAGATGCTTACTCAGCCATGAGAAGATAAACTGCAGTGTTTTAAGTATTCTTATTGAGATAACATCAAAGCAAGAAATTAGTTAGTGCTTAATCCACAGCTTGATCTTTGTCACCACTTCCCACGTGACACTGAGCCAAGGGTCCGTGATGTGTGAGAGAGATGGATGTCTTTGAATATCCATGGATGTCTGTGTGTATCCATGCAGCCTTCTGGGCTCTGCCCCACAATTTCCTGAACAGAATGACAAGCCCCTTGGGTTTGTTGTTTGTGCTGTAACAGGTGACACTGTAAGAGCTGTCTGAGCTGGAGCAGGGCTGCTAAGGTGGGCAGGGGAAAGGGGGCTGCTGAGAGAGAGCAATGCAGGCCAGCTCCTGGCAAAGCAATTCTCATAAAGAGTACAGTCTGTAAACAAAGTGATAGCTTACAAATCTCAAACCCAAGCATTTTGTCTTTGATTATTAAAAACAAAGGGGCTTGAACTCTCAGTTTGATGTATTAAGTGATTATTTTTTAAAGAAATTTTGAGTTAGTCAAACTGGAATGATTCATAAGGTAGCTTAATTAGACCAGAGCTCCAGTGGGAGTCCACTTTAACGTGTCTACAGGGACTCTGTTCATACTCTAATGCACCTCTGAATTAAAGGTGAAACCAGGAATGGCAGTTTCAAAGGAGGAACTACAAAGAACATCTTTTTTTCCTCTTTTTGCTCTTCTGTCCTTGCTATCTAGATATCAAGCTTCCATTGCATTCTAAGGATGACTTTTTTCTGGGTTAGCTCACACAAGCAGAGCTTTTTATACACCATAATTTAAAAGGTAAAAAACCCTCAAAGTGAGAAATCCATTACTAACATGCTCACAAACTGGTGTTCTGGAATTGCTGTAAGAAATGGATCCTGTTGTGCAGTGTTTTGTTTCACCTCCTAGCAATTTTTAGAAAATTTAAAGTCATCCTATTATAATTTATCTGGTGCTATAGGAGGAGGCCTCATGCTAATGCTCCAGTAGGGTGGGAAATCCTAAAATGGGAAATGGAAGTATGCCCTAAGGTCTATTTTTAGACTAGTGTGACTAGGCTGTGCTTCAAAATAAAATTTAAAAAAAACCCAAAAAACCACACAGACCTAAGAGGCTAAAGACTTGTAAATGCTCTAATTTGACAAGGGAAATCAAGATCATGATGTTACATTTACTTTGAACTGGCCTTCTTTAGAGATGTGAATTCTTCCTGCAACATCTGCTAGAACAGAGTTAATAAGCTAAAGAAATGCTTGTGATGTCTCCCTGCTATTGATTCCCTTTGCTTGAGGTAGGAATTGCTTATGGACTTTGATCACTAACCCTAAAATATCAGGAGGTTGGCAGAAGGAATGGTTGGGTTTTTTGGTTTGAATTTGCACTACAGTTCAGTGTCAACAATGCTGAGTGATCATTGCTCTGCAACCATTTTTTGACTGAGGTTTCTTTTTAAACTATATTTTTCTCACGGAAAGGAAACAAAGGTGATGTAATTAAAACAAGCAAAGAAAAATATGAATGGAATAATCCAGAGAGCACTCTGAGTGAATAACAACTTGATACTTAACCATTGTACTTCTTCGTCATGCTCATTCCTGCTTTACTCGTGGCACTAATGTTCAGCAGGCTATGTTTGAAAATATCTGTAATGATATTTTGGAGATGCATCTTTGCTCTCTGAAGACTCCAAATGTTGTTTGCCTATTCATACCAGTGATGTGGCTGCTGCCTTGTGTGCACTTGGGGTTAAGTTTTGTTTATTTCTTGCTTCTAAGTGTGACAGAAATGCTGACACACTTGGAGCAGGGCTTCTGTGAACTGAAATTATCACATAAAAGCTGAATACCAGAAATGAAGATCTCTGTTACAATTGGAATGGTAGGCTTGAAAGAAATAAATGAAATGATGAGAGGATAGTAGGTTGATTCCTCCTGGTGGTATAAAGCTTTTTGTTCAAGAGAAGTGTTTTAGGAAAGTCGATACTGTGCTAAAACAATTGCTAGGACCAGGGAGCGTTTCTGCTGTAAATCTGTTCCACCCTGGGCTCCCGTAGATGGCAATGTTGTACAGCTGATGGGTTCAAGCCGTGGGCTCGGGGTCTGCCAATTCCTCTGTGCTGATGTGCCTTAAGGAAAATTGCTCTTACAGTAAATTTGATGGTGCATTTCCCTTCAGTCAGGCTCTGACTAATACACACAGTAATGCACTCCAAACCACATCACAGAGCCTTGTTAGACGTGAAGGAAATTAATTTTGTAGATTACCTAATTGTAGGTTTTAGGGGGAGAAGTCTCTTTTTAGCTTACAGAGTTCTGTTCAGTAACCAGGTCACAGCAAGTGTGAGCCCTCCTTTAATACAGGGACCGGGACAAACCTGTGAGAAAAAGGACCCAGGTTTGTGGTGTCTGTGCTGGACACAGGGTTATAGAGATATGTCTGGGCTGCATGAAATCCTCTGCATTTCTGATTGCATCCTGTGTTTCTTTCCTGGGGGACACATGGGCACAGTTATTATCGTGCTTTCCTTTCCTTTTGTGCTTTTCTGGGGTTTTTTTGTGTTGTCAGCACAAACCTCTGACTTCCATCTGTCTCCAACCCCTGGGTAGTTGGAGCACTGAAAGATCCTTGCCCATTTAAAACAAGTTCACATCCTAAATTTCTTTCCTA